AAAATACCACATCAATACGGTATTTCATAATTTTCCAATCATTAATTAATAAGTCATCATATGACCAAAAAGTTAATGAGTTGACCAAAAGTCAACTGTTGACCAAAAAGTCAACCAGTTGAGACCAAAAGTCAACTGTTGACCAAAAAGTCAACCAGTTGACTAAAAGTTAACTTTATGGGAAAAATACTAGAATTCATTTCTTAAGCACATAACATTCTTATTTTACCGATACATATAACCGTTATGTGTATTCGGTGAAAATCATATATGTGTATCAATCATACACATTACTCTATAAATTTATATTTCATAGGATTCAAGTACGCGCTTGGTGTGACTCTAGGGCCCAACTTTAAGACTCGGTAGTGGATCATATCCACAAGTGCAACAGAGATGCTAGCTACACATGAAGACTACCCGGGTATAAGTTGTGATAAATGCCTGCAAGATGCTTACACAATTTTATCAGGACCAGTCAGTGATAATGCCGTACAGTCCGGCCTCTTCATCAAACCATGTCAAATAATTAAGCCTAGGGTATGGAAAACTGTCAAACCCTAATTGCTCAATTAGTGTTTGTTGATATTAAACTCATAACCTATAAGATCAAACTGACAATCAGTTTATCTTATTTACCTTGGCTAATTATTTCCAGGTTATAGTTATATCAAACAATCTTATGACATCAACCCCTTATATTGGGAGAGACGAATCTCATCTTGGCATCTCAATATCTACTTATGCCTCGGGATGTACCCAACAAGAACCGTTATGCATAACTCGATGAGAACTGTGGTTAGGTAAAAGTCTAAGTACACCTATACTGACATGTAAGATATTGCACTCATGCCTCAGGTTATGAGACTACTATGTACTATATCACTTGAGAACTTCTATTTGACAGTTAAGTATAATTACCAACTAGATGTTCTTGATGAGTCGTTCAGTCAACTCATTCAGTAATGGGTTACCTGTATACTGTATCTTGATGTCTTACATCAATGATCTAAGAGATGGATCATCATCCTTCCAAAGGAGAAATAGAGTATACACTAGTCTTACCAAAGTGATGATGTCCCATTTCAACACTTCATCGACTAGGAACATTTTAGAATATACGTTAGTGACAAATCAGATCTCTTCATTACGATCATATCCGAAATGTCTGATAGTCTAGTATCATTCTAAGGACTTTATCTGTATTTAAAAATACTAGATAAATCTGACCAAAATAGCATACTATTATTTTGAACAATGATGTTATTTTCATATAGGTCCTGTTACAATATATAATTATTGCATGCAGGGCACCTATATCTAACAGATATTTCACAGTGGGAGACAATGTCTACGCTCGATCTGAAGTAGTTGCAATGGAATGGCTGGTACTAGAAGTTCTCAATTTCCAATGCATGCTGCCCACAACGCATAATTTCTTGTGGTAAAACAATTTCCCCCTTTATTTTATAAATCGAGGGAGCTATAAGAAAGTAGGTATTGAGATGCAACAATATTGCAGGTTTTATCTAAGAGCAGCAAATGTGGATGCCGATGTGGAGTCCATGACAAGGTACTTAGTTGTCCTCTCGCTTCTCGACCATGAAAGGTTTTGCTTCTAGCTCTCTACTGTGGCTTTCGGATTGGTTATCCTCGTTTGCCTTGCTACAAGTCGAGATTCCTCTTGCCTTAAGGTCATGAAGGTGATTAAGCTCTCAGCTATTAACTTCTGCTCATTGAATTTAATACATTATTAAACAAATGATATAGTTACTTCGAGCATCACGTTTGCCTTGCCACTTTATTTTGATCCATACAAATAGGTAGTCTTTTAAGATATGCTATTGAATTTTAATTTTTAAATTGTACCCTTGTAAGCTTGTTCAGTCATAACTGTTCATTCTGCAATCAACCTGCTATGTTCAGTATGATAAGTTATTTCAATTACATTTTGCAATCGTTAAATGGCATTGATATTATTATATTTCTTCTCATAAAGCAAAGTAACTACTAACAGTAAATACAAATTGTTTATGCAGAGGATGTTTAGAATCTTTCACAACCTGAGCTATAGAGCGTACAACAAGTTAGATAGAACTATTCCTGGTTTCAGTAAAGTGATGGAGAAAGTGAGAGTTGATACAGCTGCAAAAGATGCAAGGCACAAGGAGAGGACAGCTGCACAGAAAAAGGCTGAGGCTGAGGATGCTCTCTTTGGCCGCAGAATGTCACCTGATCCGTAGAAAAGGTACAAATATTTAAGGGGGTAAAAAAATCCTTAGACCGTGATTATTTTGATTTTAATGTTTTTATTACAGGACAAAATATGCAAATTCTCTTCCAGTATCAGGTATGTAGATGGGCTATGAGACGCTGAACTTGCGAACTCCTTCATCGGGACTACCAAGAGTGGAATCGGGCCTTGCTATTCAAGCAAGACTATCCGTAATGGGATCAGGGTTTGTGATCTGAGGAATATGGATACCTTTCATGATAAACTCAAGATTCTGCTAAAAGATGGAGCTTTAAGGTTTTCAGGTTTTAAATATAGCAATCAAATGCTTAAGGAGGAGGTTGAGAAGTATTACCTTGCGGACATTGTTCATGTTATGAATCAATCCATTACTCAGAAGAAGAAAATATTGGTAGAAGGTGGACAGGCCACCAGATTGTTCAGAATTTCTTGTTGAATGTTCCGCATGATTCACGTGTTCTTCGATTCCTTCATTTTGATTCCTTCATTTTCATCAGAGTGTGATATTATCTCCTTGCTATCTTGAAGCTTTAAAGAAACAACTGCTTCGGTTGTTTTTTTAGGTGCAACTTTTTTTTTGAAATTGAATACAACATTATGCCGCAAATTCTCTTGACAAGGATATTACAGGCCTCGACTATCACTCGGTGCAGTATCTATGATTGGACTCCTCCTAGGAGGATTCTCTAGGGGAAGTTGAGTGCAATTTGCACTAACAGATGATTTAGAATATATACTTTTTTATATATAGAAATGAAAGTGTCTTAATATATTCAAGAGAAAGCTTTGTGTCACAGCATGCAGTTGTATAATATATTCAACTCTTGTAGTTCTTAATATGCATCACGTGCAACGCACGTGTGGCATACTAGTGTGTGTGTGTGTGTGTGTGTGTGTGTGTGTGTGTGTATGTATGTGTGTGATATGTTTCATATATATTTTATATATTTTTATAGGTAATTATATTATGATATGTGTGTGTGTGTATATGTGTATATGTATTTGTATATGTATATGTATATGTGTATGTGTATGTGTATATGTGTGTGTGTGTGTGTATTATCATGTCTACAATCATTTCCTAAAGTTTTACATTTTTCTTGAATTTATTTGATATTTTTAAACAGGGTTTTAAAACCATCAAACTGCTTTCAATACCTGTATTTTCATATATCGGTTAACGGTCGACCGCCACGGTCGACCGCGCCTGTGTCTTTTGCTGAGTGGGCTGCAAAAACTTTCGCGGTCGACCGCCACGGTCGACCGCGTAAGTCTCTGGAAGTTTTCTGGGTTTCTTAGCTGGCTCGCGGTCGACCGTGAGTTTTCCATGGTCGACCGCCGTTCACCCCAACAGTTCTTTTTGTACAGATACGTATTCCTGATTTTTTGGGATTTTTGTTGTTTTGTTTGGGGTGTTAGCTGTTGGTTTCTCTTCCTATAAAAACCCCTCAACCCCTCTTCTACAACAAGATTTTTGGAGAAAGTTTTAAACAAGTTTAAGAGGGTTTTACAGTTTGTTTAGTTTGTTTTTGGGGTTTGCTTTTACAAAGAGGAGCTTTCATCATCTGTTGAGGAGTTCATCTTCAATATCTTCTCATTCTCTCTTTATGTTTATAGAGAAGTTTTCTAACTCTTTTCTCTAGCAATATTATTATTGATTTTTATATTCTTATTATTGCTAGTTTGCTATTTGAGTTTAGTTTTGATTTATATCTCATTGTTAAACACACCCACATTGAGCTTATTGTATTTTTATATATAGTATATTTGGGTTGGTGAGAGTTGTAACAATTGAGTGTGAGCTTTCATTGTGTTCTCATCCATAGTAGAGAGCAAACATTTATTGTATTGAGCCTAATTGTAAGGATACACTTTGTAATACACTTGTACACCGAGAGAAGTGTGTGGCGAGAGTCGGGGATCGTCCTAAGAGGAGTGGCGTCGGTTGACGAACCTAGGGAGAGGTTGTATCCGAACACTTGAGTGAGACACATCTAGTTCAACACTTGAGAGGGTGTAGAGTGAGATTACAAGAGTGTGTTAGTTGTAGAGTTTTCGGTAAACTAAAAAACCGTATTGTGAGGTGTAAACGTTGTTCGGGTAAACGTAGAAAACCAGGTTGTGATAATGGAGATCTCCTCGAGGTGAGGAGCGGAGACGTAGGTCGTGGGGACCGAACTCCGTAATCATATCGTTTGTTTGTGATTACATTTGCGCATTTATTTTCATGCACATATCTTATATCGCCTTTGTGTATTGCTCATTGTTTATATTGCCCACTATCTAGTTTAGATTGTTTACCCTTGTGATTATATATCCTTGCATATAGATCTCATTGCTAGGATATTTACCTTTGTTCATATTGCTTATTCTTACTTGTAACATATTGTATATCTCTCTTGTAAGAATAATTTGTTAATTAGTTTTAATTAGCATAAAATCAGATTAGATTAGCATAAGACCCTAAAACCCCCCCCTTTGCTCATTGTTTATATTGCCCACTATCTAGTTTAGATTGTTTACCCTTGTGATTATATATCCTTGCATATAGATCTCATTGCTAGGATATTTACCTTTGTTCATATTGCTTATTCTTACTTGTAACATATTGTATATCTCTCTTGTAAGAATAATTTGTTAATTAGTTTTAATTAGCATAAAATCAGATTAGATTAGCATAAGACCCTAATAACCCAATCCTTTCAACACTTTATATTCCTTCAAAATTTTGTTTACATATTTGTTTTCAAGGAAAAAGGTTCAGGCGAGATTGTCTTCAAGGCAATGGGAAGAGCTATAAACAAAACAGTGATGATTGTGGAGCTAATTAAGCTAATATTTTTTGACATATATCTTAATGATCATTTTGATCCCTGAGAAGTTGGAAACTTTTGTCTTGAGTCCTTCCCCACTTCCTTGTATTTTCTGTGCAAAGTTATGCCCGTTGCAAAATGACCATTGTACATAAATATGTTGATGGTGCAGAGAAGGATTGTGGGTCTTCATCAAATTACTGCTATTGGTGTAGAGAAGGATTGTGCAAAGAAGGATTGTGGGCATATGAGGTAACTTGTCTTACTTTGCGAGTTATTAAAATCATATATATTTTTTATCATATCATATTCATATTTATTTCCTAAATATCCGATTAGTATCCGTATCCCAACCGTATCCAGCTCTCTAATATCCGAACCGTATCTGTTTCCGTTTAATGCGGATATGGTAATGTTTTTTTCTTACCGATGAATATCTGAATCGTATCCATATTCATTTTCAGAAAGTGGTTATGGTTGTGGTAAGGGGCATGTCCGAACCGTATCCGAACCGAATGCACCCCTAGACACAGGTCATGGATAGAAAAATGAAATTCAACCGGCTTCAATAAACTCTGATCTACTTTCTCGAGAATCAGAGAGCATCTCTCTTCTTCTGAGTTTGCTTGTAAGTTTATCCCAATCAGCCTCCTTGTCTCTTATGGATCTCTATGACTACTGTCAAGTTTTAGGAAGAAGTTTTATGTATCTGATTTATCATTGATGTTCTGCCAGGCTGAGGATGATTTCTATGTTAGATACCATACACTTCAGCTTCTTACAGCTCTTCTTACACATTCCCCTAGCAGGTAATTTTTCATATACAACCTGCAATTTGTTTTTTTCCTCAACTGGTGCTTATTTGTGATTCTAAAAAATCTTAATCATTATTGTTTTCATGTATTGTGTTTCTATATTAGGTTACAAGAAGCGATTCTTTCTATTCCTCATGGTATTTATGGATATGCTTATGGATCGTGAGGTTTGCATTTGTCTACTTCTTTCTTGTTTAGCTAGTCCTTCTTGCTGTCAGGTCATGAATTCAAAATGGGATGTTTTCTTACTTCTTGCTTAAATTATTTGCAAGCAACATTACTTGTTTTTCTTCCAACCAATATGATAGGTCATAAGAAATGAAGCCTTGTTGATGCTCACATACTTGACTCGTGAGGCAGATGTCAAGTTCCCACTTCAAATATTGATTATAAATCTCTGGTTAGTTCATGTTCCTCACTCCTAAACTTGTGTTTTGCAATTCAGGAAATTCAAAAGATTGTGGTTTTTGAGGGAGCCTTTGAGAAGATATTTAGCATTATTAAAGAATAAGGAGGTTCTGATGGAGGTGTTCTTGTTCAAGTGATTCTTTCATACTCAGATCAGTAAGGTCATCTAGTCATTTCACTGGCAAAATGACATGTGGTTCCTGTTTCTAAAATTGAAACTCGCCTTTTTATTGTATCTAGGACAGCTCATATGGTTCTTAGGGTACGTGATATTATAATTAGACTTTATAAGACAAATACGAAGGCTCCATTTTAGTGCAGTAATACATCATTGTTTGTGGTTACACTAGTCTATTGATATTAGATCTCTACTTAATAACAATTTGTACAGGTATGGTTATTCACTTCCACGTGTTTATTCTTTTTACTGCCACTGTATGGAAACTTACTTTGCAGGAAAGTTTGAATTGTTGATTATGCAATCTATGCAATGTTGATTGGTGAAAACACACTATAGAAGGAGGGAGGCTGGTGCGTTTGAGGGAAGGCAATAAAGAGTTGGATGCGATTACATTATGGGTCAAACTTAATGGTTGATATAGAACATATATTATACGATGATTACAATCTGATTATATAACGACTTCTTTAGCTAACTCAAGTATTCTCATTTTTTGTGTTATCCAGGTCCTTTTGCTAATTTTTATTGTTTCATTTGTGAGTATTTCAAGCTAGTTGTTATCTTATTGCACAACACAAGTTTGAATATCATTTTAAACTATGTTTTTCTCTGAAATGGCAGTATGCTTTTACAAGCTTTTGGTGTCATCTGAAGAAAATGAAGGTCTTGAGGTATGTAGACTTCCGCTGGTTGATGCTATATGATTTGGTATGTTAGTTAGGCATCAGTGTTTTTAATTAAAGACCAGAATGTTCCCATTAGGTTGGTGGAACAATTTAATTTGAACAAGTTGTTTTAACTAGCTTTGGGGACTCTATAGTTAGATTTTCTGTTACCATCCATTCACTATGTTCTTGCTTTATTCATACATAGACCAGATGCAATATGATATTAGGAGTATACATAGAGAATCAATGATTGGACACTGAAAGATCAGTATTAAGCTTCAAATTCTCAAGAGAATCAATGATTGGACACTGAAAGATCAGTATTAAGCTTCAAATTCTCACCTTTATATTAGTAATATGGGATATTAAATCAGAACAAAGTGAAGATCAGTATTAAGCTTCAAATTCTCACCTTTATATTAGTAATATGGGATATTAAATCAGAACAAAGTGAACGCATGGTAACATAAAACTTGTGATGCTTGGCTAGCAAGTATAAAGTGGTCATTCGTCTTTAGCAAGTATAAAGCGAATGGAGTATACATGTGCAGGACTAGGTAATTATTTTTTATAAAATCTCTTATATACTTTTATGATTGACTACTTGCACTTGAGAAAATGAGATTTTTACTTAATAGGATAATAATTGCTTAATTGATATTTCTTAATTATGTGATTTTTTTTTTAATTTTTAGGCTATCCATGCAAGATTAGGAGGGGGTAGCTCAAGTCTTCTTTTGACGATGATTAGAGATGAAAAAATGTGTCTTCCCCAAACTTTTATTTTAATTTGTTTTAGATAGTTTTATGTATTTTTCTTTGGAACAATTAGGATATTAACTCTTGTTATTAGTATTGAATATTTGAGGATGGTGGAATTTTATTTATTGATGTTATTAATGAATAAAAATTTTATTTTCCCTCTTATTCATTATTGGGTATTTTTAATATATTTTTTTTGTGAATCTTAGTGTCAGGTTGAGAATAATATGATAGTTGCCTATGAATGAAAAAATTATTATTAATGTATATTAAAAATTTATAGTCTACAATGATGGTTTTATAAACCGTATTTTGTTCATCAACGAAGGAAAAACACCGTCGTTGATGGGTTACTAATTACCCATTATGAGGACTTCTACGACGGTATCCAACCGTCACTGATTAGTCTTCAATGATGGGAAAATATCCCCGTAACTAATGGTAAGAAAAATATCCCCGTAACTAATGGTAACGATGGGAAAATATCTCGTCACTGATGGTAGCGACGGAAAAATATCCCCGTCACTGATGGTAACGACGGTGACAATTATCGTCGTAAATATTAACGATGGTAATATATTCCGTCGTTATGGACTCTATAACGACGGGTACTACATCCCTTCGTGACCCTTTAGCGAAGAGGACTTCAATAACGGGTGACGAAGGGATTTTTTCCCCATCGTTAGCATACAATAACGAAGGTTTTCAGCTCTTTAACGAAGGGAAATCCCTTCGTTAAAGACGTAATTTCTTGTAGTGGACGAAGCTCATCATCAAAAATGAAGTTCGTCATTGAAGACGAAGTTCACCTAGAGACAAAAATCCTTTAGAAGATGAAGCTCATTCAAGAGACGAAGTCAATCCGCAGACGAACCTCGTTAAACAGTGCCTCACCTCTCAGAGAATGAAGCTCGTCATTGAAGATGATGTTCGCCTAGAGACAAGGCTCTCAACACCTTATCATTCAACAAATAAAACTCGTCAGTGAAGACAAAGCTTATTATTAAAGACGAAGCTCATCAATGAAGACGAAGTTCATCAGAAGAAGTTTGCGAGACTTGCTATACAGTTGGACTCAACCATCCAAGACGAGGCTCGTCGTATAGTGAAACTCACTTTGTCAGACGAACCTCACTACGCATTGAAGCTCGTCTCATCTGACGAACCTTGCCACACAGTGAGGCTCATCTCACCAAAATGAGTTTGACTGTAACGGTCTTGAAGATCGAGTCAATCAACATGGGCTAAATTTGAGGAGTCAGTTACGCCCTGACCCCATGATTTCAGCACGTCAGTTACACGCTAAATGGTAATAAATAGCCTCAAGCAGCTATGAAGAAGACAACTTGGCATGAGCATGCACGAACAGTAAATGGAGACACACGCGAGAGGTAGTACTCAAACTAGAAGCGACGCACACGCAAAAGAGGAACAAACTCACACTTAAGCTCGGAGGTGTTCTTCTAAAATCTGAACTTCGGCTCTTGTGATCTAAGCAGCCATCAGTGGTGGCTCACTTTCTCCCTGAATTGGAGTGATCTTGTTCTGATCGTCAATGAGAAGTAAGCTCGACTCAAGTATCGAGCAAGGCATCTCATCGCCACACAAAACCCATGTTAAACAAAGGAGAAGTCGAATCAACATTCTCCTCTTCTGTACTTGAGAAAGAGCGATTGTAAACAGATTCTTACCAGTGATAGAATATTTCTCCAAAACTAAAACAGCTAAGAGAACCAGTCATTCGAATCATTTTCGGGCCCCTACAAGTATATACTAGTACATAGTTATATACATATAGTAAGATTAATCTAATTTTTAGCAATTTTTTCCCAAAAAATAGAAAAACAAAAACAAAAAATAGGGGTTGGCCCAATTTGACCTAGACTTGGACCCGGGCCTGGCCTGGGCACTCCAAGTCCGGGTTTGGGCCATTCGTTCTGGTTGGCTCAGAACCGAATTTCTGGGTCAGCCCGAATGGACAGGCCTAATTAATTCATCTTTCTTCCCCAATATATAGTTAGTTCTTCTCTATAAAATTTAGGATTTCGAGAAGAACAAATTAAATGAGTGCAAAAATATAATTAGCTCTCTCGAGCTTAATCCTAACCCGAGCAAGGTTAGTATATGAGTTCGGAGAATTTTTTTTAAAAAGACCTTTTTCAAAAAAAAAATAACAAGCAAAAATGACTTTTTTGTTAAATAATTAGTAAAATCGACCTTTTTTTTGCCAGCTTATCAAGGCTGGCAAAAAAAGATGTCAATTTTACAAAATTTAGTATTGAAAACACACTGTACTATTAGTCCCATGTGTTTAGCGTTCGTTAATCACCTTCTAAGCACAATCCAGAAAACACACGGGACTAGTAGTCACATGTGTTACCTTCCCCCTTGAGAATAATAGTTCTAAGAATTCTCTTAGTAAAAGCAACCACCAATCTCTCTCTCTCTCTCTCTCTCTCTCTCTCTCTCTCTCTCTCTCTCTCTCCTC